CTCCATAATAGGCTCTGTCTAGGAAAGAAATAGTTAACTGTATAAGTTGATGAATTTTTTTTTGTTAACTTAAAAATTCCTGATCTTTTCTGTGCTGCAGCTGTTGGGACTCGTCTGAGTCCATAGATGGCAGACTAAGCATGGCAACTGCAGCAAGGAAATGTGGCAGCCATGAAAAACCAGCAGGTTTATAGGAGCTTTGTTTTGGGTGAAATTTGATGCTGACTGTTAAACAATGAGATGCCAATCAATGCTGATATTATCAGTGACAAATCTTTATTTAAGATTATACATCCCATAAAAAAACCCGCATTTGATTTTAGATTTAAGGTTACATCATGTAACTGTAATTGTTTTTTTTAATCTGAGGACCTAGACACATTTAATCAAATTTATAACAAGTATATATATATATATATATATATATATATATATATATATATATATATATATATATATATAGAGAGAGAGAGATAGTTTGAAAATTAAAATTTCAAGTCAAGGTTGTTATTGGAGTCCATAACAAAATCTTATAGGGCTTGTAACATAAAAAACTCGATAAAAAAAAAAAAAATATATATATATACACTATAACGCCAAAAGTATTTGCTCACCTGCCTTGACTCACATATGAGCTTAAGTGACATCCCGTTCCTAATCCATAGGGTTCAATATGACGTCGGTCCACCCTTTGCAGCTAAAACAGCTTCAACTCTTCTGGGAAGGCTGTCCACAAGGTTTAGGAGTGTGTTTATGGGAATTTTTGACCATTCTTCCAGAAGCGCATTTGTGAGGTCGCACACTGATGTTGGACGAGAAGGCCTGGCTCTCAGTCTCCGCTCTAATTCATCCCAAAGGTGTTCTATCGGGTTGAGGTCAGGACTCTGTGCAGGCCAGTCAAGTTCATCCACACCAGACTCTGTCATCCATGTCTTTATGGACCTTGCTTTGTGCACTGGTGCACAGTCATGTTGGAAGAGGAAGGGGCCAGCTCCAAACTGTTCCCACAAAGTTGGGAGCATGGAATTGTCCAAAATGTCTTGGTATGCTGAAGCATTCAGAGTTCCTTTCACTGGAACTAAGGGGCCAAGCCCAGCTCCTGAAAAACAACCTCACACCATAATCCCCCCTCCACCAAACTTTACACTTGGCACAATGCAGTCAGACAAGTACCGTTCTCCTGGCAACCGCCAAACCCAGACCCGTCCATCAGATTGCCAGATGGAGAAGCGCGATTCGTCACTCCAGAGAACGCGTCTCCACTGCTCTAGAGTCCAGTGGCGGCGTGCTTTACACCACCGCATCCGACGCTTTGCATTGCACTTGGTGATGTATGGCTTGGATGCAGCTGCTCGACCATGGAAACCCATTCCATGAAGCTCTCTGCGCACTGTTCTTGAGCTAATCTGAAGGCCACATGAAGTTTGGAGGTCTGTAGTGATTGACTCTGCAGAAAGTTGGCGACCTCTTCGCACTATGCGCGTCAGCATCCGCTGACCCCGCTCCGTCAGTTTACGTGGCCTACCTCTTCGTGGCTGAGTTGCTGTCGTTCCCAAACACTTCCATTTTCTTATAATACAGCTGACAGTTGACTGTGGAATATTTAGGAGCGAGGAAATTTCACGACTGGATTTGTTGCACAGGTGGCATCCTATCACAGTTCCACGCTGGAATTCACTGAGCTCCTGAGAGCGACCCATTCTTTCACAAATGTTTGTAAAAACAGTCTGCATGCCTAGGTGCTTGAATTTATACACCTGTGGCCATGGAAGTGATTGGAACACCTGATTCCAATAATTTGGATGGGTGAGCAAATACTTTTGGCAATATAGTGTATATATATATATATATTCAAGGCAAACATCAAATTAAACATAATAAGGTAAAAAAATATAAAAAGGTCAGTTGCCCTAATACGTTAAAAGAAAAAAAAAAAAAAAACATCCTACTAAATGTACAGTAGGTTTATTTATCAAGCGGTATCTATGCGGAATGGTTGGATATTAATATATAATCTTGTGTTTTTAGACCTTAGTAAGGGATGTGAATATGACTAAAAATGTGAAACTTCTCTATAAAGGGTTAAAAAGTTTCACAGACATTTTCTAGATATCAAATCCGGTAAATTTGTTTTGTATCCTCAAAACAAATGTAAAAAGTGGGAATGACGTAATCTCTCAGGTAAATGTGCACAACTTTTCTACCTGTATACCCTTATATATATTCTATACTGCACATAGAGCCACCGTTTTACCCATTACAATATAGAATGCCAGCCTCTGTGCACATAATACCTGAACATCTGACTTAATGCTACAAACATAACAAATAACAACTGCTATAAATGGTTAATTCAGGAATCTTTATTTATTGTTGATGAAGTAACATCCATAGGTCAGTCGGATACCATCCTATTTCACCAACATTCCAACCCAAAATTCCAACTTTTTGGGCCACATCAGTGTAAATTCACAACTAGGAAAATGGAAATTTTGGGGAAGCACATTAGACTGTAGGTTATGTGCTATATTGCTTTTTTAAATTGGCTGTGAAACTTTTTATTAGGTAGAATGCAGTCTGTCTAATATAACTAGGGTCAAAGGAATTTTAATCAGACCAGCATTGATGAGGGTTTTAGTTTGAGAACCCGTCATTTGAATTAATGTCCCAGTTTTCTAGCTGTTAGTTTGAGTCTAAGTGGAAGAAGATGGGAGAATTGAGTTTCTGACTGTTCATTCAGTCTGTGCCAAATAGTAGCATTGCTAGAAAATCAATCCCCAGTATGAAACTACCCCCACCGTGCTCAACAGTTGCCATAGTGCTCCTAAGTTATGATTGAAAATAATTCTCTCAAAAAAGCTTTCTAGATTTCCATGATGAGTTTTTATCCAACTATATCATCTCACCATTGTTAACTGTGCAGATAGCTGCGAATATCAGTTTAAAAGATCTGTTTTTTTTTATATCAGGCTTTAGGTTTTGTAGCTTTATAGCCTTTGTATAATTATGTTGATGCCTGGATGTAGTGATAAGAAAAAATATTCCACAATATCTTCAAACTAAAACTCCTGTAAATGCCACAAACTATTACAGCATGTAATGACTGCAAACTTCTGACTGTACAGGATTAGACATTCAAAATGTCCTCACTTTCCTTAATGGGCCCTTGGCTGGTCCCCTACAATTTTAAACATCAATATTTGTACTGAAATATTCTTTCTGTCATGATTTGTGGACATTAAGATCTAAAGGGAAGCCCCATCTTCTGGTCAGACCCTGTAATTGAGGGTAATATGCACGCCCAGGAGAAGAAGGGCATCACTCCATTGGCTGGAAGTTGGAGGGCATTCTGCTGGGAGTCACAGGGGATTGGGCTGCCATTCTGCTGCAGTTTGACTGGGAAGGGCCATTTTGAATGGCTGCTACTGTAATAATGTATTTAATTTAGAATAATAGGGAAAGGTCAGACCTTTGGGGAAGTTTTAATTACCACCACCATTTTGGAACAGGTGTTATACTGGAGTCTACTCCGACAGCACAGCTGAACACTTTCCCTCCTGTTGCTTATTTAACTTCAAATAAGTAATTATTCAAAGTTGGAAGGAGTGAAGCTGAGCCAGGTGGTCCAGCCTTCCCTGCCAAGTGTTAAATCAGCTTCCTGCAGCTTCATCCCACATTTTAAAGCTACCTGTAGGAGTTTAATTAGTTCTCCCAGTTTGTTCACATTTCCTGCAAAGACTAAGCAACACAATTAACCATCCCACGCACAGACACAACTCCAGACGCTTGTACTTCAGTTTTATTGTTCTGAGAAAATCAACACCAAGTTAAAAAATAAATTACTTCCTTGATTTTTTGTTTTGTTTTGATTTTTTTAACATACTGATCAGACACTGCACAAAGAGACCAAATGCTTCAGGAAAAACAAATTGAGCGGGAAAAACATTTACAAAATCAAGTGTATTCAAGATTATGGCTCAATTTCATCAAGCCTGCAAGAAAAACAGGAGTTAAAAAGAGTTGCAGCATGGAAATTAAAATAATGAACGAAGCATGTATGAGAAATAAATTTGTGTGATAATTTATTGAATTAAATTATTTTCTAGAGCTGATTTGAAATCACAGAAATATCAACAGGATTTTCTCTGGAACAGATGGCTAACTGGTTTATTACAATTCACGATAAGAAATGTTGAAACAAAAAACTGATTTTTCCCTCAATATTCCAAAGTTTATAAAGTTTTAGCTTAATTTGCCTCCTTAAACACAAGTTTTAGCTCCATACTATAGTAATAAACATTTATAAAACCGAATCGATATGTGGGTTAGGAGTGTTTGTGGCTTAGTCAGATCAAAATAAGTACATTATTTGATAAAAGGAAATAAAAACATGCAAAACCATAATTATACAAGTTGTGAAGATGGAAAAAAATGACCTGCTGCAAACTTAGATGCCTTCAAAACAGACGTGTTTTGGCCATTCATGTACAAATTTTGTAAATCACAAGTTCCTTTCAGATTTCTGTGTAGTTTGTTAACAGAATATATTTAAGTTAGTTCGAAACAACGACCTATAATTTTTATATTTTCAATTATTTTGAAGGGTCAATTTTAGACCCACCCATTAATTTAGAAGATCAGGAATAAATGCAGGGGCCGGACATTGTTTAAATATCTGGTGTGAGGATGGGAGGTGCTAAAAAGATTTTCTGTCAACTTTTTCTTTAAGGCTGTAACAGCAGATTAAGTTACTTTAATTTTTATTTAAGTTGTAAGATATTTTTACTTATATTATATCTTTTTTTTTTTAAATGGAAATAAACATCATATATTTTTTCCAAGTCAGAAGTGCGCATATGAAACACCACCATTTTCCACCAACAGATTGTAGTTTTAAAGACACAGCTGGACTCAAGCAAAGTAAACGATTACAAAATGTTGATCTTAAAGAAAAAAAAAAAAGATTATTGTTCATATCAAAACCATCGGATATTTTTTTCTGGTCCAAGGTAAAAATGAGAGGCTGAAGCAAAACTTCCCCTGGCATCAAAACAGACCTTCAAAGACAAGATACGTTACCATCAAGGTACTAGAAAAAACACTAGGAGGCACTTAAACAACCAGGTGGAAAAAAACAACAACTAATAACCAGAAAACAAATCATTGAATTGAATACTGACAAAGTTTGGTATATTAAGATCTAAAGTTCAGTACCGTTCTGAGCACTTTTCCTGACCTCCACAAAATGAATAAAACAAAATAACTCAGTTTCCTTGACGTTAATTCAATAGCATAGATGAGTTATATTTTCCTAACCTCACCCTCCTCCCGCTCCATCTCTAATGTCAGTTAGAAACCCCTGCATCAGGCACTTGTTGATTAGTTCATAATGGCTCAGAGCCTTCCAATCACAAACAGCAGGCGGCCCTCTGTCTCCTCAGTTAGTTAGTCCAGGAAGATTCTTCATTCCTCTCTTTATTCTTCTCTTGGATCCATCTTGCTCCTTTTCCACCTTTATGCTCCGTGTGCTACGGTACACGTCGGGGGAACTGGGCTCGGCATCTTCGAACGCCAGAGCGGGGTCATCGGGAGCCACGGGTTGGGGAGCGGGGTAGTTGGGCTGGTAGTAGCGGTACGGGTCGTCCTCTTCCACCTCTCCGTAGTTTTGGAAGACGCTAGATGGGAGTTGGACTGAGGGGATACCGCGGATGTCAGTGGTTTCTTCACCTTCTGCGTTCCCAGTCACCCAGGAAATGATCACCGAGTCGAGGAAGAGGTCAGCGAAAACCCCAAAAGTTGGCAGATTCCCATCACCAAGGAGAGCAGTGCATTGAGGGCGGTTTGTTGGGATTTAATTGGGTTAGCGGAAGGATGGATAGAGAAAAGAATGAAGGTATAAAGAAAGAAGAACAAGGGTTAGCAAGGGTTATAAGACCATAAGTACCAAGGTTATGGATTAACAGGACTAAGAGCTAAGAGCTGTTAGAGGTTTGGGACAAAAAGCTTTAGGTTTAAAGTTAGAAGTAATCAATATTTGATCTTAATTCACATTTTCCATTTTCTTTTTGACCAGATATTAGATTTGTTATTGTTAGCTTTCATTCAGACAAAACACTAGTATAAAATCAATCTCTCTTAAGACTTTATGTTACTAAATGTTAAAACGTGCGTTTTACAAATTAAGATCTGTCTTGAGGCTTTTAGTTGCCTAAGAGAAGTGATCTTTGTTACTGGAGTTTGTACAAAGTCAGTAAAGGCTTTGGATTAAAAAACAGGACGTGGATCATAATCTAGAAGAAAAAGTCAGTGAAAGATGATGAACATTATTATGTTCCATTTTCATTTTACATACAAAACATCTCAAAATATGTATTTAATCTGATAATCTACGTATTTAAACTGGTACATATCAGTGTTTCTCTGAGCAAAACTTGTAGATTTACTATATCCAGCTGAGTCTCCCATCATCACTAAATAAACAGCTAAAAAATATTACATTCTAATCGATTTATTTAATATTTATCATAAGGACAAAGTGTTAACATTAAATTAGTCTGCAGCCTTGTATATTTTGCTTTAATTTCTTGAAACTGACCATAAACTCCACAGATTTAAAAATATGCTCACGGTGGAGGTTTTAATCAGGCAATGCGCTGAGAAAGCCCTTATCAACTTCTTTAGCTTGTAGCCTCTTTGATGGTTAAAGCTGTAATCTGTTGTTGCTTTGCAGATACCATTCAGAAACTATCATAATGTTTTACCTGTGAAGCTAGACAGTAACAGATTAAGACGATGGTTTGGAGACAAACACAAAAATCAGAAGAAAGGTCAAAAGATGCATGAGTTGCGTGATAATCCACCACAAAATGAGCTGCATGCTACTCTGACATTCAGAGTGCTGTGTGACCTTTAAGATCAACACACATCAAAAATCAGCACAACTATACATTAAATGGCAAAAGGTAGTTCATGCTGTCGAGTTTTTGGTCAACAAACACACAACTTCTTTGTTTTTAGATCTTTTTCTTTGTGCTTTTTCCATAACAGGCATAGGGTGCATGCATTGATGCAGCATCATGCACTGACACAGCATCACTGCTGAATGATGCTGCATCATCCAAAGATGCTGCATTTAAAGGTGGAATATGAAACTTTGAAACACACTCAGTAACAATACTGGATCCATTTTATACCTGTCTGTTTCTATGTTGCATCACTGCATGATACTGCATCATCGCATGATGCTGCATTATTGATGCATGATGCTGCATTATTGATGCATGGTGCTGCATCATTCATCAATGATGCAGCACCATTTAATGATGCAGCATCAATGATGCAGCATAATTCATCAATGAAGCTGCATCATTGAATGATGCTGCATCATTGATGCATGATGCTGCATCATTAATGCATGTTGCTGCATCATTGAATGAGGCTGCATCATTTATGCATGATACTGCATCATCACTGCATAATGCTACATTATCGTATGATGCTGCATCATTGATGCATGATGCTGCATCATTGATGCATGATGCTGCATCATTAATGCATGTTGCTGCATCATTGAATGAGGCTGCATCATTTATGCATGATACTGCATCATCACTGCATAATGCTACATTATCGTATGATGCTGCATCATTGATGCATGATGCTGCATCATTGATGCATGATGCTGCATCATTGATGCATGATGCTGCATCATTGATGCATGATGCTGCATCATTGATGCATGATGCTGCATCATTGATGCATGATGCTGCATCATTGAATGATGCAATATCATGCATCAATGATGCAGCATCATACGATAATGTAGCATTATGCAGCATTATTGCATGATGCTGCATCATTGCATGATGCTGCATCATTGCATGATGCTGCATCATTGCATGATGCTGCATTATTGATGCATGATGCTGCATCATTGCATGATGCTGCATCATTTATGCATGATACTGCATCATCACTGCATAATGCTACATTATCGTATGATGATGCATCATTGATGCATGATGCTGCATCATTGATGCATGATGCTGCATCATTGATGCATGATGCTGCATCATTGATGCATGATGCTGCATCATTGATGCATGATGCTGCATCATTGATGCATGATGCTGCATCATTGAATGATGCAATATCATGCATCAATGATGCAGCATCATACGATAATGTAGCATTATGCAGCATTATTGCATGATGCTGCATTATTGATGCATGATGCTGCATCATTGCATGATGCTGCATTATTGATACATGATGCTGCATCATTGATGCATGATGCTGCATCATTAAATGGTTCTGCATCATTGATGCATGATGCTGCATCATTGCATGATGCTGCATCATTGCATGATGCTGCATCATTGCATGATGCTGCATCATTGATGCTGCATCATTGCATGATGCTGCATCATTGATGCATGATGCTGCATCATTGCATGATGCTGCATCATTGATGCATGATGCTGCATTATTGATGCATGATGCTGCATCATGAATGATGCAGTATCACCATGTGATGCTGCATCATTGATGCATGATGCTGCATCATGAATGATGCAGTATCACCATGTGATGCTGCATCATCGCTGCATTATGCTACATCATCGTATGATGATGCATGATGCTGCATCATTGCATGATGCTGCATCATTGCATGATGCTGCATCATTGATGCATGATGCTACAGGAAGGGTTGGCTTTGATAACATGCAAATTCTTTAATTCAGTGGAAGCTTTTAAACATTAAACTTTTAATAAAGTTTTCACCAATCAAATAGGAAAACATGGGAACTGAAACGCTTCCATGTTTCGTTATACACTTTGTCCTATTAAGACATTTAATTTACCTGAAGGTGCAGCATGCATCGTAGAGTCTACGTACCTCCAACATTGTAGCCCACGCAAGAGTTGGGGTCACAGTATCCTGGGGGCCCTGGAGGCCCAACTGGTCCAGGAACTCCAGACCGACCAGGAGCTCCAGGATTCCCAGGGCGCCCTGTTGCACCCTGGTTGCCAGTTCGGCCCTGACCTTGGGGTCCTGAGAACAGTTAAAGACACAGTTCAGCAGGTTCAAAGACAATATTATCACAAACCAAACACAGCCCTCAGTAAAATAGATTTTTGTTGTTTATTTATTCTTTAGGTTATATACCAGGAGGTCCTGGAGGTCCTCTGGGGCCTTGCACACCAACCCCTGGAGATCCCTTCTCCCCCTTTTCTCCTGGTTGCCCTGGAAACAGTTAGAAATGAACAGTTATTTTCTAAGAATAAAAAAAGGTCCAAAAGGTTCTTATCCTGCCATTTAAAGCTAACCATTTAACATCTTAATCCTAACATGCACAAACATTTTAATAACGCCCCAAATTATTTACAGATATTTGAACAATGTCTTTGTTGTCAAACAGATATTTAAGTATTAAGTATTACTTGACGACTTAGACAACAGTAATGCTACGGTTAGTTTGTGGTGAACATGCATCTACAGGAAGTGGTGGAGTACATACTGTTCATCTACTTCTTTATTGACATGTGACCTCAGTTTTGATAATCATTTAGACACTAGCTTGTAACAAACTAGCAAAAGCTACTATGTTTTATTTGTTGAAAATGGTTTTTATTTAGTTTTTTCACAAAGAAATAAGAAACCGAAATTGCTTCACCTCTTTCTCCCGGGTTTCCATTCTGGCCATTCTGTCCAGGAAAGCCCGGTCTTCCTGCTGGTCCCTGTTCTCCTGGAGGCCCTGGCGGACCTACCCGACCCGGTTCCCCTGGAGGTCCAGGGACTGTGCGGATGGACACGGGCTGGCTGGGAGCTTGGTTCAGGATAGAGTTGTAACGAGACATATGACCTAGAAATTGGTCAAAAAGGAGATATTCAGGGCGAGATGAAGAAAAAATTAATGTCAGTTCTCCTTTAAATGAGCTCAGTGTGAAGCAAATAGTTTATGACTTTATTATAAAGTTTAAAATTGGACTTTAACTATTACGAATAAGAGAAATTAAAGACAGGCAACAAAAGTTGAACAAAGGATCAAAAGAAACCTTTGAAATGTAAATATTCAAATATTCTTCAGTTTTTCAGAAAGATTTTGAACCAAATAGTATTTAACAGGAAATAACAATCAAAGAGTTTGTTTTGTGCAATTAAACTGTTCAAAGAAGATGCAACAAGCCTTAATGTCAGTGATTCTATTAAGATAATCCATATTAAAAACAACTCTGCTCCTATTTCAAGGCCAATATTTTTGAGTCACTTACTTTGGATCAGCTGCTCACAGACTTGTCTGGCGATGTCCTGAACCGACGCTGTTGATTGGAGGTCACCCTGTAAACATAAACTGCAGATTATTTACTGTAATTTAAGACTACTGGTGCCATATTCACTCAGGTATCTCTTTGACCTTTATAAAAGGTTATGCACGCGTTGATAATCATCAGTAAGGAAAACAAATTTCCGTATTTAGTTAAATTATCTCACATTAGAGGTGCAGGATCAGTGAGTGCTGCATCATATCTGTGAAAGATAATGAATGCCTTCCTCTTTGCTCCTGCAGCATCAAATATATTTCACTTTTTAACTGTTATTTAAAACAGCACAGGGTCGGTTATGAAAAAGGTGATTTGTTTTGGGTCTTGGTTCCGTAACTTTATGTGTATCATCTTTTCAAAATTGACACCTCTTTTACTTTAAATGTTTTACAAAAATCTTCTGTGTTATGGAGTTTTTAAGCTGCAACATTGAGAGCAAATGTCAAAGTTGACGTTTCTGCTTTACGTAAAGAGACACCCACCCGTTCACCTTTCTCTCCCTTGCTTCCTGGAGGACCCTGCAAAGGAAAAAAGAAATTAGAAGAAAGAAACATGTAAACAACATGAATAAACTAAACTTGGCCTAAGTGTAAATAGGTTTTTCATACTTTATGCAAATCTAAACAAAATTCACTTCAATAAAAATGTGAAAGTTTATCCAGTTGCATGACATCTAATCATATTGGTAAAAAAAAAAGTAAAATTTAGAAAGGTCAAATGAATGATGAACTTTTAGAGCAGCTAATCACAGGCTGCAGATAGAAACGTTTATTTATCTCAGTATATCTCATGTCGCAGTCAGTTTACATACATATTTCTATATTTACCAATATTGAACAGCTTGGTCTGAGATGATCAGCATCCTGTTATGGATGGAAAATCTGCAAATATCAGATTTCTAATTTGAAACATTTACTGAACTGATGAAAATCTCTTGTTAAAACACACTTTGTCCAAATGAAATCAATTCATGGCCTCCCTGTTCTAATCAGTTTAGTAAACAGAAGAGCATTCAGTTTTCTCTTAATCTTTTTAGAGTTTTAAATAGAGGCATCTTTTCTTTGCCCAGTCTATTTAGATTGTTGAGTTTCCAAATCCTACTTTTTTCCCTCTTTTCGTTAGCTCAGCAACACTTTCTGGAGGATTTAGGTGACAAAAGAAAGAAAGTATTAAAAGAAGAGTGATTTTGCGTCTTGTGAACCACATATTTATTTTTTTTCTCCAAATATTCTTGATGAATATCTTCCTTTTAAACCTGCAATCTTTTCCCCCTATGTTGACGCTATTTACTTTAGGTCTACATTTTTTTTAATTCAAAATAATCATGTAAAACTTTTGATGGTGCCATAGGTTCTAGTTCTTTTTGGCAGATAAGCGAACCCACAGCATTATATAAACACCACTATGCTTAACAGCAGTCTGCTGAGTCACAGCAGACCCACCTTAACCACTTTCTAATAAAGATGTATATCTAATGTATATCGAAAGCAAAGAGCTCCAGTTCTAGTTCTAGCAGCCTTTAGTATTCAGACACATTTAACTTTTTCTTTTCTCTTACCTTTGCATTGAATTCAAATATTTTCTGTGCCTTTAAAGGAAAACTAATCGGGCCGTCATTGATAAAAGCCTAAAAATGTCTTTCACTTAATTTGCTCCAGCTATTTTTTTGTTATTGTGTTATTAGTACAATTTATTGACAATTTTTCTGACCAACGAGTAAATCAACTATATTTAAAGGTTGAATTTTAGCTGCATTTTTAGCTAAAGTTCAAACTGCATCAATAAAATATTAATTTCCTGTAAGGCTTATCTATGAAGAGTGTAACCCATTATTTATTCCATTTAAATAGATACGAAAAAAGATAAGAAAACATGCAAGAGTTTGTTTAAAACTAAATAATGTTTAGAAGCAAATGAAAAGGACCCAGAAAATAAGAAAACTGCAGATTTTAATTCCTTTCCAGTCTGTTGCATCCCCTCATATTCACTGCTCTATATTTTTCTCCACTAAGTCCTCATTAAGACCATCAACTTACGAGTGGTGCTGTAATGAGCTGATGAGCGCTCTCTGCTTCGCCCATGCAGTGATGATTACATGCTTAACAACATTTTATCAAACTGATGCCAACTGGTTTATCTGCAGCTTTTATCGCCTCCCACTGAGTTTCGCTTCTTCTTTGACGCCGTTATCAAAATGTTGTTTCCTTTCTCTTAAGCGAACATAAATGTTGAAGCAGAGACCACAAACTGTAACAAAATGTCAGCAAAGGACGCAAGTAAATCCCCTCAGAATTTTCCTGTTTTGAGTTGGATTTATTGCTGAATGTTTGACAAATCAAATTCAATAATCATAAACCCATTTCTTTATTTATATCTTATATGATTGATAATATAAAATATCCTTAATGAACCATAACAGTCTTTACTCATGTTGGTAAAAGCTGCAGCACTCAGCGTTACAGTTTAGGCATAAAACGATGGGTTAAACTTGTTTTCACTAAATGTTCTGAACTCAGATGTCTTCCTTTGTGTCAGTTTAAACAGCCTTCAGTCTGCCTTTCAATACGCCGTCAGCGTATCAAACAGGATCATGGACCAACTGGACAGGAAGACATTAATCCCGCCGTCAGTCACCTTGCTGTGGTTTAAGTCTGCCTGACAGGCTGTGATAAGCCTGACTGGCACCTCGCTCTGCTGCCTGTTGGATATTTATTGCACGCATTGCTCTGTTATTGTAGCAGTGTCTTGCAGAAAAAAGATGAAAGCACACATATAATTGGTTCATGAGGAGAGACGGCTCTATGTGACCCTTCGGACTCACCGGTGGTCCCAGCGTTCCCGGTTTTCCTTGGGCGCCTGTGTTTCCAGGGGCTCCCGGAGCTCCTGGAGTCCCCTAAGGAGAAAAAAGGAAGCTGAATACAACAGCTGAGCGCTGCAAGACTATTTCTGCTTTTTATTATCTAAAGTTCTGTTTATACTGTTTTTAACGTTATAACTGCTGAAGAGAATTTGAGAGATAAAAATTCCCTATTTTGCACAACGACAATGAACCTTCTTCTCCACCAATAACAAGCATTTTCTTATTAAATATGTTTAAATTTGTAGAGCAAAATAAGCTGTAACTATTTCAACAATTATCTCCTAAAGCTTAGGAAACTGTAAAGACAGATAACAGGTTAGTTTCATGTTTGCGGCACAAAGCTTCCCCAAACTATCTTACATTCTGACTGATACATTTGGTCCATATTAAATAAGTTTACATCACTCAAGGAATTATCTTTTATTTAATTATTTTTTATTTCATCTTTTTGCTGCTAAGTAAATATTCTGCATGTCTATGGAGAGATAACCAATGAAACAATTTATAAGCCACAAAAGTCGCTACTTCAATCAAGCTAATAAAACTAATGAAACTACTGGCCAATTTTTATGCAGGCGTCATGATGACCAACCATGTTTCCTGGGGGTCCTTGTCTGCCCTGTGGGCCGTCTTTGCCTGGAAGTCCCTGGAGACGTGGAAGCAGAGAGTAAAGCATGAGTTTCTGTTTAATATCACAATAATAATTTTTCCCTCATTGTCTTTAGAAGATAAGAAAAAAATAATAAAATCTGTGTCACAACATCAGTAATGACATATTGGAGAACAATGGGACTCACTCTGGGTCCTGGAGGTCCTTCTCTTCCAACAGCTCCAGGTCTTCCAGGAACTCCCTAAAAAACATGAAGGAAAATCTTAAAATTTCAACACTTTAATAAATGTTTCAGCGAAATAACATAAACACTACAGTCAGATGGGGTTCTTAAATAAACAACAACAGACAAACAGCGTCCCCAGATTTAACAGTGGTTAGATATTAGAAATTCAGTCAGAATTCAACAACATTAATTCAGTTAAATCTTCTCTACAATAGTGAGTCTGCGAGGATCGGATGATCCGTAACCAAAAATCAACATTTCTATCCATTTAGCCAAAACAACTGGATCAGAGCATTGCGTAGCTTTTTCCTGTAATAATACAGGTGCTGGTCATAAAATTAGAATATCATGAAAAAGTAGATTGATTTCAGTAATTCCATTTAAAAAGTGAAACTTGTATATTATATTCATACATTACATACAAACTCATATATTTCAGATGTTTATTTTGTTTAATTTTGATGATTACAAATGACAACAAATGAAAATCTCAAATTCATCATATCAGAAAATTAGAATATTACTGAAGACCAATAAAAACAAAGGATTTATAGAAATGTTGGCCAACTGAAAAGTATGAACATGAAAAGTATGAGCATGTACAGCACTCAGTATTTAGTTGGGCCTCCTTTGGCCTGTATTACTGCAGCAATGCGGCGTGGCATGGAGTCGATCAGTCTGTGGCACTGCTCAGGTGTTATGATAGCCCAGGTTGCTCTAATAGTGGCTTTTAGCTCTTCTGAATTGTTGGGTCTGGTGTATTGCATCTTCTTCTTCACAATACCCCATAGATTTTCTATGGGGTTAAGGTCAGGAGAGTTTGCTGGCCAATTAAGAACAGGGATACCATGGTCCTTCAACCAGGTACTGGTAGCTTTGGCACTGTGTGCAGGTGCCAAGTCCTGTTGGAAAATGAAATCTGCATCTCCAAAAAGTTGGTCAGCTGCAGGAAGCATGAAGTGCTCTAAAACTTCCTGGTATGTGGCTGCGTTGACCCTGGACCTCAGAAAACACAATGGACCAACACCAGCAGATGACATGGCACCCCAAACCATCACTAACTGTGGAAACTTTACACTGGACTTCAAGCAACGTGGATGAAGTGCCTCTCTTCTTTTCCTCCAGACTCTGGGACCTTGATTTCCAAAGGAAATGCAAAATTTACTTTCATCAGAGAACATGACTTTGGACCACTCACCAGCAGTCCAGTCCTGTTTCTCTTTAGCCCAGGCAAGACGCTTCTGACGCTGTCTGTGGTTCAAGAGTGGCTTGACACAAGGAATGCGACAGCAGAAACCCATGTCTTTCATACGTCTGTGTGTGGTGGTTCTTGAAGCACTCACTCCAGCTGCAGTCCACTCTTTGTGAATCTCCCCCACATTTTTGAATGGGTTTTGTTTCACAATCCTCTCCAGGGTGCGGTTATCTCTCTTGCTTGTACACTTTTTTCGACCACATCTTTTCCTTCCCTTCGCCTCTCTATTAATGTGCTTGGACACTGAGCTCTGTGAACAGCCAGCCTCTTTAGCGATGACCTTTTGTGTCTTGCCCTCCTTGTGCAAGGTGTCGATGGTCGTCTTTTGGACAACTGTCAAGTCAGCAGTCTTCCCCATGATTGTGTAGCCTATAGAACTAGACTGAAAGACCATTTAAAGGCTTTTGCAGGTGGTTGAGTTAATTAGCTGATTAGAGTGTGGCACCAGGGGCCATCAATTTTGAACCTTTTCACAATATTCTAATTTTCTGATATGATGAATTTGAGATTTTCATTTGTTGTCATTTGTAATCATCAAAATTAAACAAAATAAACATCTGAAATATATGAGTTTGTATGTAATGTATAAATATAATATACAAGTTTCACTTTTTAAATGGAATTACTGAAATCAATCTACTTTTTCATGATATTCTAATTTTATGACCAGCACCTGTATTCTCCTATCAGGATTAAATTCAAAAACAGATAAAAAAAAAAAAAAAAAAAAAAAGTCTGGTCTCATCGCCGACTCCACACCCAGATATGCAAACATAATAATCCCAGAATGAATAAAAAGCTGTTACCTGTTGTCCTTGTTGACCTGCTTCTCCTTTCTGCCCTCGCTCTCCTGGGGATCCCTTTAAACAACAAAAGCCAAGTTTTAAAAAGTACAACGCCACCATAAAAAAAGCCATCAGCTGGCAGGTCAGGTGTGCTTACTGGGGGTCCGATGATGGAGCGACCGCTTGGTCCTTGAGGTCCAGGGGGTCCTTGAGGTCCGGGTACACCTACATCTCCAACAGGACCTGCAGGCCCCTGATGAAAGAGAGCAAAAAAACAAAAAAAAAAACTGATTCAGATTCTTCCTCTTAAACCAAAAACACAAACTAGTTCATTACAACTGATTTATAGAAGTTAGTAGAAAAATATAAATTTTCTAACATGAGAAATAAGAAATACAGATAGTGGAGCTTCAGATATGATAAAAAAACCATCCAATGATATTTTAAAACAGATTATACTCTTTCATGCATGTTCAAACTTTACTGTAACCACAAGGTTAATTTTCTAGCAGTACAAGAGGTTTCCTGCACACGATCATAATGTTCTATCTGATAAATAAACACTCAAATCGTGACTGAACTTCAATTTTTGGCCACATAAATTGTTTCACAGGAAACACAGAAAAAGCCAAATTATTAACCCATTAATCTAATGGTTAAAAGGTTTTTCTAAAATCTTTAAGGTTAAGAATATTAATTTACTTATCATACATGTCACGTTTAATTCAAATAACAATGAAACATTTCTGCATGGAAAATGTTAACTCAGTACTTTTAAGTTTGTGGTGATGCTTGAAGCTTAAGCATCATTTCCTGTTAACATCTGATAATGTAAAAGGATGTTAAGTGCTGCTACTTTATCATTCAGAGAAGCAAAATATACAATTCACTTTTATGTTTCGTTGAATCTACTTTTTATCCGTTTCATTTGATGTAAACGGTTCAATAATAGAGCAAACATAGTGCAGTATTTTCTTCTTGTATCTTAAGAAAATCTGCTCTAATATTAACAGACACAGCTGTGGAGAAATGTTTCCTTTAAAATAAAAAGTAATTATGTATTTGGATGTTTTTATCATATTTAAGAAAAAAAAAGAAGAAGCTTCAAACCTTTAAACTTAAAGCTTTAAACTGGATCAGAAATAAACCTTTGAGTGGTTTCATGTCCTCCTGTGATAAAAATCTTAGCACTTCCTGATTATGACACAGAAACAGCAACCCAGCTGAAAACCTCAGACAGCAGCACTAGCGTCTTGATTATTTGCAGAACAGTTTTTCTAATTAGAAACATTTTTAAATTAGATGGTCATTTACATGGAATGACTGCAATGATTTAGCAGAGTTAAACTAGAAGGAGGATTCTAGTTGAAACTACTTCTGACGTCCTGGATAAGGAAAAACGGAACAATCTGCTTCTGTGCATGTTGACATGTCTTTCAACATTTACGAGGACCCTGACCGGAATATGAAAGTGAGATGCAGCAAAGGATAATTTTGTGACTAATTAAAACTAAATAATAGAATATGATGAAATATTGACATAAAAGGATTTACCGCTATTGTCTTCTGAAAATAAAAAAAATACAAGATTCAGTGACAAAAAGACACACGAGGAAAATAAATACACAAAACTTTAAATATAAAAACATTTTTGCACATGTATGAAATTCGATTTTATTCATGTTTTACATTGCTAAGCCTTAGCAAAGGCTGTAGCTGTTTAACTATATCTAATCTAGCACTGTTAAATGGAAAATGAACTGCATTTCAGATACCACTTCAGGTTTTGCGGTTTTAACTCCTTTTGAATAAAAGTATACAATTTTCTCTCAACTTATATGTACTACAGCATCTCAGCTTTTTCTGCCTTTTAGAAGTTTTATCAAAAATATATCTCTAGTACGGCTGCAACTAATGATTATTTCACAAATCGATTAATCTGTTGATTAATCTGTTGATTAATTGATCATAATTGGATAGCGAGAGGTTCCTTAAAGAAGACTTTTTATGAAATTAAACCAGGTGAAACTAACTTTTCCACTTTAGGAGTTCTGGATAAAACATATTGACAGATGAAAACTTTTTTTATCTTAAATGCCAAATGTTTATACATTTTTCTCATAGTAGCTTCATCTGGTCTGTTCCTGTTTGGCTGTGACTCCATCCTGGAGAGAAATATAAGCTGTGCTGCTTCCATCAACACCTTTGTTAGATAGATGTTGGAGATCTGCTTGTTTTTCCAATGTATTCCTGTTTCTCTGACTGTGACTGGCTGGATGTGCTCTCTTCGTCCTCTGACATGGGAGCTGGCTCAGAGCTCGTCTGCCTGGCTGTGTGTTTCCTGGACGGGGCCGGCTGTGGAGTTGGTTGAGAGTTGCCTTTCATATCTCTGCCTTTTTCTATAAGTCTGCTTCTGTCTCCTTGAACCCCAGTCGGCCTCGGCAGATGGCCGCTCACACTGAGTCTGGTTCTGCTGGAGGTTCTTCCTGTTAATAGAGAGTTTTTTTTCCTCTCCACTGTCGCTACAAGCATGCTTAGTGTGAGGGATTGCTTTTGAGTAAATGAGTTGATGCAATTAACTGGTTTTAGATAGATAGAAAACTCTGAATCAATTTGACTGTATGATCTGGTGAACTGTAAAGTACCTTGAGATGACGTATGTTGTGAATTGGCGCTATATAAATAAACTGAATTGAAATAAACAACCATACATTACCCTTTTTTCTATAACAGGGAAACCATAAGTTAGTCATTTGTATTTGCAATCATCATAGATTTTTACATTAAAGATAAGAAATAAAAGTCCTGTTTTTGTAGGAGCTCGAACTCGAAAGCGTCCACAACCGGTCCAAAGAAACCCGTACAAAGCTGCTGCTCTAATATTGGGCTTACTGTGCCTCCTGTTGTTGGCAGGGATTGGAGTCCAGCTCTGTAAGTAAAACTGTATCTTTATCGTGATATTGTCTTAGTAGTCATAAGTATTCCTCCTTTAATGTTTATTTTAACATTTATGCTTTTACATTTTATTCATCCTTTTATTTAGATCTATTTATTAGGTTAGAACCAGATCCGCCAACATGTGAAGTAAATAACCAGAATAGCACAGGTAAAAACATTTATCTTTAAGTCTTGTTTTTAATCTTTAGTGTTACTTTCTATTTAAGGAAGTATTAAATGATATTGAGTATATAGTGTATGATATATTGATATTAACAATGAGTCCCTTCTTGCAGACTGGCAGGAGATTCGTACGTCACGTCTTTTCTATACATCCACTGAGAAGAAAAACTGGACAGAAAGCAGGAAAGACTGTCAGAGGAGAGGAGGAGATCTGGTGATGATAAACAGCAAAGAAAAACAGGTTAAATCAAAAGATTTGATTTAAGGTTAAATCAAAGATTAAAAGACGTTTTATCTTCAACTCAGTTGAGGTTATTTGATTGTTTTCCAGTCAATAAACAAAAAAGATCCATCATAAGAGCCTACAAACACAATCAGAAAAAAATGACCAGAAAAGGGCAGAAGCAGGAAGCTTATAAATAAAATTTTTCATTTATTTTACACAAGTGAAAGCGCTTTGGAGGGTCATGATTATATAACTACAGTTAAAGTATTATTTACTAATTTGCTTTAATCTTAAAAAACAATCTGTTTTATCACTTTTACGTTTTATCACTTATCACGTTTTAAGACACTGGCATGATCTTTGATTTTACATAAAACATTGTTTAGATTTTGTTATAATATACATTATGTTTAAAGTTCATTATTCTGTATTTAAAAAAATATTGGATTTGTGTGATCAAGTTAATCTGCTCTATGAACCAGATTAAGAAAAAGCTTTATTGCCAAGCAGTACTTCAAACATGCAAGTTTTTTTTAGGGCTGCAATGATTATTTTGCACATTGATTCATTTGTCAATTGTTTTTTTTTTTTTATTAATCCATTAATAATTGGACAACTAAAGCTTTCTTAAAGAGGACTTTATACTAAATTAAACCGGGTGAAACTAAAATGTTTCCACTTGAGGAGTTCTGGATAGTGCAGATTGATAGACGAAAAAGTTTTTAAATGCAAAATGTTTACATATATATATATATATATTTTTTTTTTTATAATTTTGATATAATTACTGCTCTAATTGGGTTGCTCTGTCAGCTAAAGGCATGTTTTATAGTCTCTATACTCCATTTAATGATTAATCGATTACTAAACTAGCTGATGTTTATTTTAATAATCAAATAATCTCGATAAATCCGCTTATTCCAGCTCTAGTTTTCCTTTTATCATTAGGTACAAAAAGACAAGCAAAACAAGTTTGAAATAAATTAATAAATATATAATACACAAATTTAAAAAGCATAATTTTGAATTGCAAATAAAATCACAAAATAACTATTTTAATTAAATCTGTTTCATGTTGATGTTTATAGTGTAGTGGTTTTATAGAGATGTTTAGCTGCCAGTCTAGGTCCGGTGTCTGCTAATATTTTGTAATTTAATTTGTCAAAAATATATATTCTAAATTTTCAAAATTTTGTCTCTTTATAAAATACTTAGGACTCTCAGTTTTATTTTTACTGTCTACAAGAATTTCATTATAAAAGTTTTTCTTTCACCTCTTAATATAGAAACTATTTTTACCTTCTAAACATTAGAGCATTTTTTTGTTTATATATTAGATATTTCAGATAATGTAATCATACATTTTGACTAAAAGGCAACAAATAAATATTTGCTTTTTACAATTCATATAGGATATTCTCAGAAGGATGAAGTTACATGGAGATTCCTGGATTGGTCTTCAATCAGTAGACATCACAGGGGGATGGGGAGCGAAAGCAAAATGGAAATGGCAATGGGTGGATGGATCAGAACTAGAATATAAGTGAGCAGGTTCAAATTTTTTGTTGATATTTTGATCAAAGTTATGGTTAACTGATACATGCAGACATAGGAAAAAAAAACTGAACATGTCACCCTGCAAATATCATTACATACTGCATCACTTCCTACTGTCTGAAACAGAATGCAGCTAAGTCATTGTAAATGTATAATGGAGGCTCGAATGTAATTAAATATCAAATTCATTTAGCTAAAAATTTCAAAGGGTCACAAAAACCTGCAGTTGGCTGGAACCTCCTTAGGAGGTTTGTAGCAATACTAATAAAAACAACTTAGATTTGATATTCTTTTACATTTTTGCTGTAATATTATATACTGTATGTAATATACACGTGTAATATGTAGACTTAGAATTAGACTAAGACAACGTTTATTGTCATTTTGTATACACAGAGTTTATACAAAATGAAATTCTGTTTTGTACAGCTCTCATGATGTTTCCATTTCATGAACATGCTATTGTTGGTGTTTGTGTGATGTTATCTTGTTATTTCAATGATTACATTTACTCAGCGAAGCACTTTGAATCTTTGTTGCTAAATAAATAAATCTGGATTGGATTACTATGATTCTAAATGTGACAAATTTATCATCTATAGCTAGAGTTATTTTTTTTAAACTGCTACTCATTAATGGAATTCAAAGAAAAAGACATTTGTATTATAGAAATCTGACACTGCCTCAAAACTAAGGTGTTGAACACAAACTATCAACATCCTAGAAAAACTAAATATTTTTTAAGCGCATTTTTATGTTTTCTGACTTTGGCTGATGGTGATATGTTGATTCTTTGCAGGTCCTGGAAACTTGAAGTAAGTACAACGGCAGAGGCTGGGTCCAAAGCATATATTGATCAGCAGTTTCTTTGGATGCACAGCAAAACTGAATTAAAAACACTGGATCTGTGAGAAAAGTAACATTTCACATACTGGTGTCATTCACACTTAACATGCAACTCTGAGATGTAATGATTTTGAATCTTTCTATGAAATGTCTCCAAAAAGCAGATACTGTTTTTTGTTTTGTTTTGATCCAATAAATAAAGCCAAACATGAAAGAAATGAAATGCATTTAATTGTGTTAAAGGTAATTAAAATAGCTCTATCAACACAATACAAAATTAAGGGGTATTTATTTATTTACACATAAACGTGTTTAATTGATTAACAAAAAAAAAAACGAACTGAGGTTAAGACAGCTACCTTAAGATTAAATAAAACACCAGAAAATATCTGAAAACTAAAGGTTAGGCACTGTATACAAACAGAATAAAAACACTGACATCAGATTTTAAATATAATTGTGACTTGAATGATCAAATATATATTTTTTATAGGAATTGATTAAAAAATAAATGGAATTAATGTAAAAGACTAAAGCACAATTCCAATGCGCCCCTAGCCCTACTATTCAGCCCTATTCTGCCCATTCCCGTGAGGGAAGAGGTGTCCCAATTCCTCATTACACATTCCTCTTTTTTTTTTTACTTTACTAGTGGCTCATTTTAATGGACAACAGGCTAACAGGAAAGGGAGTATGATAGAGGGGTAGAGACATGCAGCAAAAAGAGCGATTTCAGATGCCGACTTGCCAAGGAAGAGACAGTTTTGCAGTAAAACATGGAGGACAGGGATTTTACTTTATTTACTGTACTCTTTACTCTTTTATCCCTGGGTTCACCAGATTCTCCTGGACAACAGTGGTTAGGTGAGATGATGTTTTGGAGGTCCGAAAGGAGCAATGGTTTTATGGGTAAAAGCATGAACGATAAAAAAAATGTTAAGCAAAAGATGCGTGCTTTTTCTCTCCAAAAATAAACTTTGTCTGTGTCGATGTTTTCCTACCACAACATCCTGCGTTCTTCCTGTTACAACATGGTTGGTTAAACAGAGATTGTGATCATCTCTTTACTCTATTTTCTTCACGGATCAAAAACATATTGCTGCTTCTTCCAGCTGCTTTCTTCTTAAGAAACCTTCCAACATGAAGGAGCTCTTGGATCATACAACAAACACAATATACAGTGAAGTATCTCCAGACAGTGGATCTGAGAATATTCAGACTGAAGGTACGTCTTTCACTACAACATGAAGCTAAATATAGAACAACCAAGATGTCTTAAAATAAGCAGAAGAGAAAAATCTCACATTTAATGTTAATCTTAGCTGTAATGAGATATTGTGTTTACAGTCGAATATTGGAAGTTAAAATTCTAATTTTATTTGTCTTTAAAATTGTAAAAAAGATGGAATAGATTATGGAGTGAACCTAAATATAAACTGGAAGCCTTTTTTATTTTCCTATATAATTATCTAATGAGTTTGCACTCCAGCTGAGTAGAGGTAAACGTTTCTTGTTTCTGGTTGTTTCTACTTTAGTTATTTCAATCCAAACTAAATTCATGTAGCCTCCTATAAAACCATCAAAAATAAATTCCATCCTGGTAAATTGAAAAAATAAAAATAAAATAATTTGGCCTTTTAATTTTGACTCTCAATGCATTCCTGTGTTCATTTTTTTTTTATATTTGCATTTTTTTTTTTTTTATCTTATAGATTTTTCACAAATTAGGATCACATTTTTAAACATTATCTTAAGGTTGGAAAATGAATTCCTTGATATTATTTATTCTGTGCTTTTATTTTACCAATCAGTCTGTTATTTGACCAAAAGATTTCTCTATCCTTTTAAAGCCCCTTTTGTTAATTTTACCTGATTTCCTAAGCATGACTTTTCTCAGTAAGCATCAGCACTAAGCTTTAAAAAAGATCAGATATTATCCATAGGACACTCAGATTGATTCCTTCATATGTTTAACTTCTTTTACTTTATTTTAATAAAACGTTTGATCTTAGCCTGAACATTTCCATTTTCTTATGCAGTAGAGTTACGATTATGAATAATAAAATTGAAGCCGACACATACACTGTAAAAACGATATAGAAATATTTTCTTAAATAAAGCATATTTATCCTTATTTTGAGTAAGTTTATGAGATGACTTGCCAATGGAATGAGTAGTTTTTACTTTGAAATTCAAAAAAAAGGAATATTAAAACAATCCACTTGGCTCTGTTTCCAAGTTTGAAGACGTTTTCGCTTCCCTTCCAAGAAGCTTTTTCAATTCAAAATGTCAGAAATGGCGTTGAGTTGGAGGTTTTATACAGTAGCCCAACAAATCTTTGTTTTTGTTTTGAAGACATGCAAATTGAAACAGACGAAGGGTCCACCCCTTTGGAATGAGGGTCGTTTGCTTCTTTTGTTAGCCTGCAATGCCACATACCTGTCTATGTCTCTGAAAGGGGGTCGTTAAAGGGAATTGTTGGCCTGGCTGAATAGGCGAGGTCTTTTGTTCCCCTGTAAAGCGGTCAGATTGCAATAATAACGGGAAGGGATAGCGAAACTTCCTCAAACTTTGAAACAAAGTCCAGTAGATTGTTTTTTTATTTTCCTTTTTTTTTGGAATGACTATGACCTGGATGACTGAGAAGAACCTTCACCAGCATCTTAAAGTAAAATGATAAAATAAGACAATGCAATTGTTTTGTTTTAATATAAATTTCTTGTTCCATTGGCAAAGTGTCTCACTTACCTCCTCAATTCAAGAACAAAAATGCACTTATTTAAAAAAAAAAGACTTATTTACATTTCAATCTTTTGTGCACTGTAAATAAGAATTGTTTTGTTTACTATTAAAACTGTAATGTGTAAATGCTTAACAAGGACTTTTTTTTTAATAAGTAAAACACTAAAAGCTAACTGTGTCTATTTGATCATTTAAAGCAGCAGACACCAGATGTCGTCCTCCAGCTGTTCAAACAAAACCCTACAGCTTAATCATCATAATGATGGCTCTGTTGAGTGTAGTGGGGTTAGTGGACATCGGGGTTCGACTCAAAACCTGTAAGAAAGCTGAATTCTTATCTTATTTTATGAATTTCCGTATCCTGTTAAGAAAAACACAATTTGAAACGTATTTTCCTGTCTTTGATGTTTTTTTTATTACTGTAGGTCTTTCAGATATTGAGGAACCTCAAAAAACCTCTTTTGAAAACCCCTCAGGTGAGAAAATGATCCCCCTTATACAATTAGAGTGTTATGAAATAATATTAATCATTTAACATACTAACCAAACTGATGATTAGTCACTTCTTGGAGGCTGGCAGGAGATTACATTTTATTTGTGCTTTTATGTAGATCTATTAATCAGGTTGAAATGGGGAGTGTTGGCCTAGTGGTTAGAGCAGTGTGCCTGTGCTTTGAGAAGGTTGCAAGTACGCCGCACAATGGCAGCCCACTGCTCCCCAAGGGGATGGGTTAAATCCAGAGAGTACATTTCCCAATTTTGGGACAATAAAGGAATTTACATTTTTTTATTGATTACAAAACAATATTGGAAAAGATGTGAAGTAAGTAACCAGAATGGCAGAACATAACAGTTATCTTAATCTTGTTTTTAATCATTAGTGTTACTTTCTATTTAAGGAAGTATTAAATGATACTGAGTATATAGTGTATGATATATTGATATTAACAATGAGTCCCTTCTTGCAGACTGGCAGGAGATTCGTACATCACGTCTTTTCTATACATCCACTGAGAAGAAAAACTGGACAGAAAGCAGGAAAGACTGTCAGAGGAGAGGAGGAGATCTGGTGATAATAAACAGCAAAGAAAAACAGGTTTGATTGTTGAAAGATTATTGTGTTAAAGTGTGAGTTAAATCAAAGATTAAAAGAAGTGTTATTGTTAACTGAGGTGAGATTGATAGTTTTTTTCAATAAACGAAAATGATAATTCATAAGAGCCTACAAAGACGCAACAAACGCTACAATCTCTGAAATAGAAGCGAAAACCTAAAATCAGCGAAACAAATGCAAATAAACAAGCTGCAACCACACATGTTGGTGCTCCAGACCAATAGAGGGAGTTAAAAAAGGGACTATGACTATGTGTTGGAAATTAAGGAAAACAAACATCTCCAGTCTTTTTCCTGCATTGCAACTTGATTTCCTATTTGTATGGTGAGGGTCTATTCCGACATGCTTTGTTCTGTATGGTACTCCCTCTAGTGGTCTGGAGTACTTGAGTTTAGAACTTTAATTGGTAACAATAATAGTAAGGTTTCTAGTTTTATCTTCATTATTTTTAAAGTAATCATTATGATCATAGTTTAGAACTT